AATGCAAGAAGAGTAGTTACTCATCTGTATACTCTCTTGCCTACCATAGCGCCTAATCCATAATAGGTGTTTAAGAAATGTTAATTCGGTAGAGCACAAAGAGGGTCATGTCTGTCTTACCAGGCTGTGAGGATTAAATGTCATACTGTGAGTAAAGTGCCCCTCACAGGGCCAGCATATACAGTATACTTGTATAAATATCATTTCTTCTTTTTCTCACACTTCCTAATTTTAGGTTTATGTTTGCCATTTCAGACTTTAATGACTGTGTAATTTTTAAAATTTTTTATTGAAATATAGTTGATTTACAATGTTGTGTTAATGTTTGCTGTACAGCAAAGTGATTCGGTTATACTTTTATATTTTTAAATATTCTTTTCCATTGTGGTGTATCACAGGATATCGAATATAGTTCCCTGTGCTATATAGTAGGACCTCGTTGTTTATATATTCTATATATAATAGTTTGCATCTGCTAACCCCAAACTCCCACTCCCTCCCTCCCCCATTCTCCCCTCCCCCTTGGCAGCCACAAGTCTGTTTGCTATGAATGATGGTGTAATTTAAGTCCGTTCGTTACCACAGGCAGGCATGCAGGGAAATGCAATGAGAAAAGATCCAAATGTGAAAAAGTTATTATTCCTGGATTCAAGTTAAATGACTATTTGCCCCACTTCTCATTTGTATTTTAAACACACATTTTCAAATGGTAGCACCAGACAGAAGTAGAATTAGTTGCATACACAACTAGGATTATAATGACTTGAAATTAAACAATGTATTAAATGTAGTATTTCTCAAAACTAGGGTGGCATTCAGTCAGTGTATACTTGTGAGGGTGACAGAGTTGGTTCCATTTGCGGGGGCCTATGTCATACTGGTTGTTAAACATTTTGAATAAAATTCCTACTTAACAATCTACTTATAAAACAGCTTTACCAAGATGCTACTATCTCTTGGTTTTATGTATCCTTCTAACAGCTTCTGCTAACTTTTAGAGCTTACCCAGATGTTTAAAATTATTTTAGAAATCACTTTGTGGCTTACTGTTGATCCTTGTCAACCTACCTTTCATATCTTAAGATAATTCTTTCCGTGTTAGCTTCCTGCTTTTCCAAGGAGTGATGTTTTTGTGCTTGAGTTAAAATGTATATTCTAACCATTAGTATTTTTCTTTGTATGCCGTTTCTCAGGTGATACTCCAGTTTCTGTTTTGCTCTGTATATTAATAATCTTTATAGTATATTGCCAAGATTATTTAAGCAAAGGTTACATTGAGTTCTGCACTCCACAACTCAGAATCTGAGATATTCACTCATTTAAGTGGTCTCTCTCTAATTTCTGGTGTTCCATCAATTTTCTTAAGTACAGGGCCTATTTAAATAATCTGAAAACAGTAATTTAAGTTACTGCCTTACCATCTACTATCCTTTAGCAACTGGAACAATTTATTTTTGTTTGTCATAAATTTAAATAAGTGATTTTGTGTCAAACAGTATCACATTTTGATTTTTCTTAGTTTTCACTTATCAGTGCATTAGTGTTTTCTTTGGTGGCAAAAAGGGGAAATTATTTTAAAAGTGTATTTGAAAGAGTAATAGAATTCTTTATGCCTTTGCCTAAAAGAGGGAATTTTATTGAGGAAAAAAGTGCCATTATTTGAAAAATTCTTGGACACATTTTATAAGAGACCCAGACTATCCAAGTTATTTAAAAAGATAAAAAGGCTTCCACATTCCAAGAAGGCAAGCAAAGTTATTTTTGAGTGTTTTTATTTGTAATAGCTAGCATATTTTTGGTTAAATCTGGCTCTTGACTTTTTATAAGCTATACCTACATTTTGCAACACATTGGGCACTTTGATTTATAGGACTTGGAACTGAATTTTAAATTTTAAATAATTCAGCTTTTATGGTTATGGTGTAGCTTTGTTTTTGTAGCATTATTGGCCATCCTTGTGATATATTTTCCGCTGAAGGCTTGATCAAAACATAATCCCAAATGTTGCGTTCATGGGATGATTTTACATCATAGTTTCCAAAATGAAAAATATTGTGGTAAAGGAGGACTGTATGTCTTCCACAGACAGAAAATTGATGACTAATGTTATGATAATATATTATTACTAGCCTCCTATTTATTGATAGCAGTCTACATTTTCCTTAGGTTATTTTGAAACCAATACTTTATTGGTCTGAATGCTTTAAAAAAATATTTTCCTTTGCTTTAGTGGGAGCAACACACAACGATTAAAAGTGAATGGACCTAGCGTCTGTCATACAGAGTGAAGTAAGTCAGGAAGAGAAAGACAAATACCATATACTAACACATATATATGGAATCTAAAAAAAAAAAAAAAATGGTACTGATGAACCTAGTTGCAAGACAGGAATAAAGATGTAGACATAGAGGGACTTCCCTGGTGGCTCAGTGGTTGAGAATCTGCCTGCCAATGCGGGGGACACAGGTTCGAGCTCTGGTCTGGGAAGGTCCCACATGCCGCGGAGCAGCTGGGCCCTGTTCTGGAGCCTGCAAGCCACAACTGCTGAGCCCGTGTGCCACAGCTGCTGAGGCCTGCGTGCCTGGAGCCTGTGCTCTGCAACGAGAGAGGCCACCACAATGAGAGGCCCGCGCACCGCAAGGAAGAGTGGCCCCCACTCAGCGCAACTAGAGAAAGCCCGTGCGCAGCAGTGAAGAGCCAACACAGCCAAAATAAATAAATAAATAAATAAATAAATTAGTTCCTTTAAAGAAAAATGCAGACATAGAGAATGGACTTGAGGACACAGGGTGGGAGGGGGAAGCTGGGGCAAAGTGAGAGTAGCATCGACATATATACACTACCGAATGTAAAATAGCTGGTGGGAAGCAGCAGCATAGCACAGGGAGATCAGCTCGGTGGTTTGCGATGACCTAGAGGGGTGGAATAGGGAGGGTGGGAGGGAGGCTCAAGAGGGAGGGGATATGGGGACATATGTATGCATATGGCTGATTCAGTTTGTTGTACTAACACAGAAACTAACACAGTATTGTGAAGCAATTATACTCCAATAAAGATCTATTTAAAAAAACTTTTTTTGAAAAAGTGAAACTTTAGAAAACCGGAAGTATGAATATGTATAAGTAAGTATGAAATAAATATTGATCTGATAGGACAAATACCTAGATAGCCATAATAGTTAATTACCCACTGATCTAATATCGGGTATAAATTTTAAAATGAATGTGCATAATTTTACAGTGGGACTAATCACTACTTATAATTTTTCCATAGGTTTTTATCGAGTCTAGAATGTCTAAAATGGCTTAATTCTTCTAGCCAAGACAACTACCAAGGAGAAAACAATGCTCCAAATTAATGTGACCTCTTAACAGAATATATGCTATCATGAAAATATTTTGAACAGAGGAAGAAATGAGTTACATGTTATACAGTAATCTAGTTTGGAATGTGTTTTTACTTTTATTTGGAAAATATTCACAATATTTAAAATGAAATAAAGTGCACTACAAAGAGATGAGTAAAGAATAGCTGTAACAGTGTTGGAGATAGTGAGGAATGTCTCTTGTGTAAATTAATATCCCAACATACATGGTTTCATCTTTACAGACTAGCCCAAAGTTGAATATAAAACAAAAATCTAAATTCTTTGGCTTTAAATGCTGAAAAGGCCCTTTTGTTCAGTTATACACAAATTAAGCAAATGTAAACCAGAAATAGTGATTATGTCAACTTAGGATATTTACCAACATTATTAAGACTTTGAACTTAAAATTTACTGGAAATGACCCATAGCGCAGCTGGTTGGCCTACGTGATTAAGAATTCGTGTTCTTAGTCACATCTGCTTGTGTGTGTATTATTCCTACAATGGACTTATGAAGATGATTCTGACATATGGCAAATATCAGTATTTCCTGTTATTAAGATGTAACACTGAAATTGATTATGGAAGGTGAAAACTTCTATATTCAGTCACTAATAGTGTTCCTGAAGTACCAGTAAGGTTCAAAATTTAATCAAGGGAAAACTATTTTATAGTTACTTCCTCTGACAAAGTCTGAGGAAAAAAAAATAACTCATTATTAAAGGCTGTTTGAATGATTAAATATGTAATTTCATGAAATATAGAGACTTCAGTAATGTTTGTCCTAGATAACATTGTGTTGAGTACTTGATCAAACAATGTTGGAGTTTCCGACAAACATTTCTTTTGTTTTTTTTCAGTTTTTTTTTTCTTTTCTTACTGCCTTTTACTATGGTAACTGAGATGTCTGCTATTGACCAAATGGTTGTGATCATTTGTAGCTCCCATTGTCTTAAATAACTACAATCATCCCTCAGTAACTGTGGGGGATTGGTTCCAGGACCCTCCAGATACCAAAATCTGTGGATGCTCAAGTCCCTTATATAAAATGGTGTGATATTTGCATATAATCTATGCACATCCTTCCATATACTTTAAATCATCTCTAGATTACTTATAATACCTAACACAATGTAATGCTATTTAAATAGTTGTCAGTTGCCCATGTGTGGCAAATTCAAGTTTTGCTTTTTGGAACTTACTGGAAATTTATTTTTCCTGAATATTTTTGATCCACAGTTGGTTTAACCAGTGGATGTGGAACCTGTGGATACAGAGGGCCGACCGCATATAATCCACAAATTGCATATCTGCAACCACTGATAAAACCACCCCACATCTGGGTTAGGTTGCAACTACAAAGGAATACTTGACATAGCAAAAAGAGAATTAGGAAACAAAGAACAACTGTGAGTCCTAAGGCACTCATATTTTCATTAGCAGTCTCTCTACATGTTTCATATTACACTATGATCAGCTGTCTAAAGACAGACTAAGAGGTAGCAATAGCAAATAAATATGAATCCTGGATTCATTACTTTAGAAATAGTAAGGGTATAAATACTTGTTTAAGAAAGAAAATGATTATTCGTTCTATGCCTAGAGGTACTGATACCTGTGTTTGCTTTATCAGCTTGCCCAACAGCAGGTGGAAAATGTCTTGGGAAAAATTACTGAGAGTAAAAATAAACTGGCCTATGAAAAGGGAAGACTACAGGTAATGAGATTTCATTTTTTGATTTTTGTTTTCTAATTTTTTAATGCCAGTTGTCAAGCTAAATTTTGCTGGATTTTGAGAGGACTTAGCTCTGTCATTTACTAATTCGATAACTTTGGACAAGTTTTTAAGCCTCCCTAAGTTTGGTCCCTCATTCAAATCCAGGTGACTTCTATCTACACACCTATAATATAATACTGAAACCTAAAATTGTGAAGCCAACGCTCATTCTGTGACAGTATAAAACTTTATTATAATTATTTTATGCATGGTCATTTGCTGCCAATGTAGAAAGCCTATGTTCTCTCTCTCTTTATTGAAGTATAGATGATTTACAGTATTACATTAGTTTCAGGTGTACAACAGAGTGACTCAATAGTTTATAGATCATATTCCATTTAAAGTTATTATAAAATATTGGCTATATTCCCTGTACTGAACAATCAGTCCTTGTAGCTTATTTATTTTATACATACTAGTTTGTACCTCTTAATCCCCTACCCCTGTTTTGCCCCTCCCACCTTCCTTCCCCCCACTGATAACCAGTTTATTCTCTATTTCTGTGGGTCTGTCTCTGTTTTGTTATTTTCATTGCTTTGTTTTATTCTTTAGATTCCACATATAAGTGTTAACATATAATATTTGTCTTTCTTTGTCTGACTTATTTCACTAAGTACAATACCTTTCAGGTCCATCCATGTTGTTGCAAATGGCAAGATTTCATTCCTTTTTATGGCTGAATAATATTCTCTCTCTCTCTCTCTCTCTCTCTCT